TCGGAATGTGTTATAAAGTAATATGATTCATACTGGGTGTTAATGCCTTTATGTGCGAAAAAAAATCTCCGTGATACATGATGTCCATGAAGGCCCTACAATTGTACAGTAAAGAAGTGGTGCTTCTGAAATGATTGGAGAAAGGCATAGCACGGGTTTTTCTGTTCGTGTTCGTATAGTGTGGTTAATTTAAGCAAGCAATCAAATAAATGTCGTGTTCTCTTTGGTAGGATGAAATCGGTGCTACTACCAACTGCTTGATTTCTGTATCCCTCGTTGAAGTTTATCGAACTGCATTTGAATTTCCGTTTGAACCTCGAAGCAACATCGAATGTTGCCGATGTCATGGTGATTTCTATGAAGTAAAGCCAGTCTGCTGTCATATCGGGATAAGATCAAATGTCAAAGGACGTTGAACAGCTATTTTGATGACCTGGAAAAGGTTAAGACTGAAAATACTCTGTTTATGATTGGTAGGTTGTTTTGGACCTATATGTAGGATTACACTGCTGATTTTTTGTCCACTGTCGGGTGGATCCCAGCGAATTGCAGGAAGGAGGCTTATGCATTAGGTAGCATGTCCGTATATCTCACTTTTTCGCTTGAACACACCAAAGCACCGTCCCGTCCGTTATTTGCAGGCCAAAAACCTGCTACTGGTTTTTCGGCTTTTCGCATCAAGTACAATTGGGTGAAGTCCCTGCTCTAGCGAATTTGCAGTTTACAGGAAAATATGTAGCCGTGTATAGGAGGCATTCTGGTATGTAGTAATTTTTATATCAATTTTTTAAGGTATAATCTGTCTCCGATAACAGTTTTAATGATCTGATGATCTTCATATGTCTTATGCAGCTTATAATGAAAGACAGGAACCATTGAATTCTTCCCTCTTTTCCAAAAGCGACTATTTTCTATTTCTGTTCAAATATTGAACTTTGTCTTCTGTCCAGTTCATGAAACTGCCGTCTTCCGTCAACTGACATCTATTTTTTGTTCCCGACTGCTGAGGACTAACTGCATCATAGTGAATGTTCGAAATTGCTTAATTTTTCTGCATGCCTGTTCAGCCGCCGTCTGTCATCAGTTTTTATGGTGTAGAAGATGTTTGCAGTTATGGCCTCAACCAGTAGTGGTATGAATCTTGCATGGGCATGTTAAAATTGTTTTATAGATTTTCGCTGACTTTATCTATGGTTAAGCTACATTTCGCTTTGAGATGACTATCGATCAATGCTTGTCTGGCTTTGATCCTGTTGACAGTGTCAGACGGGCATGGCTACATGACTGCTTTGTGTTTATCTACGACGTCAGCCGAACAAACGGCTTATGCTGCTTTGCGCACGCTACATATGTTACATACGCTCAGACCCGAAAACAGTTTCATGCCATAACTGACAGATAATTTTTTATCGCTTATTTATTCGCGTTGTTAAGTTTGCTGTTTAAAATATGATTGTCTGTTTAACAATGTTGGTAAAGTGGGTAGTTGTTTTTCGGAGTTTTATGTTTGTAGCGTCTCGTGATATTTTCTTTAATCCGTTTTCGCCAATACATTGATGAATGACTTTCATTCCATAATCTAAGTCGTATGTCTTCAGTCGCTGTTGCTCTATGACCACTGAATACTTAGTTGCACTACCTTTGTTTTGTTCTTGTTTGTGTTGTTTTAGCTTCCAATTGCTCGTTCAGATTTCTTCAGAGGCTCGCCATGTCGATGTTCAGCGCTGTGCAGACCGTCCCTCCTGTTGAGGTCTTCAACGTTAACACCATGTATCAGAATGACAAGTGTCCTTCTAAAGTGAACCTCAGCGTCGGAGGTAAGTTCTGTCGGTTAAATCGATTCAAATTGAAACTGTACTTCTTCTAAGTTAGTCATAACAAAAAGTTATAATGGCATTTGTCGTAAGCATTAGCAAGTTTATCATCATACCGACTGTGCCATCAAACTATACGAGTATACGTTTCGAAAACTTCTTATACATATGGCGTAGTCCGCAACGTCCTGACAACGTCGGGATATAACCCTAAATAGGATATGAGAACGGAGGCGTCTTCGCTGAGCGTTGCAAAGGAATGTTTATCAGGACGACTTCAGTGAACTGTCAAAGATCCATTTTACAAATTGGCTTCTGACACTAAGAGCTTCGGAGCATTTCGTCTCCTTTTTCCATGAAAATAGCCGCGGAAGGACAACTACAGTCAACCTGAAGCTTTGCGGTGTGCCCGTGTCCAGTGAACAGAACACGCGATATCCAGGAATTATTTTAGGCTAAACTTTGAGATTAGGTCAGAACCTAAAATAGACAGGCAACGAGGACTACACCAAGCACCACTGGTCAGGTCACTGTACATTTCAAACGTTTACACAAGCACCGGTCTTATGGACTGCGGGGTATTGCACTCCAGTGTGGCGTATAATTTACCACGTCCATTTTATAGACATTGTAATAAATTCTGTGCTGCATATGGGAAGCTGGATCCTGAAATTTTCTTTGTACTGTCTGACAGTACAGGCGATAATCACCAGATTCCACCAGACGAAACTTTTACAGTAATAAATGTTTCAGCGTGCTCAAAGATCCTGATCTGCCAGTCCAATGACGAAACAAGGTTTTATTAGAATACGTGGAATCTGTTCCCTAAAAGCCGCTGAGTATGAGCAGTAGCGTTTCGAGAATATGTACGCAATGTACAGTTATGCCGTGTCATCCTTAAAGGATTTTTGCAACTCACAGACATTTGCATGAAAGATTAAAATATTTCGTTAAAGTTCAGCTGGCAATGTAGCTTACTCTTTAAAAATAACAGATATTACTATTGAAAGTACAAGAATTTTCGACCCAAACTTTCATACACCCTAATTACCTACTTTTTAGCCTTCAAAACCGATGAAAGCCAACCGTGGGTACTGCCAGCGGTGAAAGAGGCGGAAGAGCGAATCTATAAGCGGCTTGCAGAAGGATCTACAAACCACGAATACCTTCCTCTGCTTGGCAATCCCAGTTTTATATCGCACGCTATGTCGCTAATGTTCGGTGAAAAACATCAGGCACTAGTGGATGGCAAGGTAAGGAAAATGATATTGGTATGAAAGTTTCATGAATCTTCTTTCTGTAGATATTTGGAGTCGAATGCCTCGGTGGAACTGGTTGTCTTCGAGTTGGCTTTGAGTTTCTGTCCAGAGTTTGCAAGCTGAAGTGTGCTTACATTTCTTCGCCAACCTGGGGTAATGCTTGGAGGATTTTTCGAACAATTAAATATTATTCCTGACGTTAATAACCATGGTTTAATAAAATATATTGGCACTGATTTAATGTTGTTTTTAAAAGACATATTTTGTTCTTAAACGGTTCGCTTGGTTTTCTTTGTTGAATTCTGGCTTCTGTTACTTATGTCAGTTAATCTGATGTGTGATTTGGTGCCTGGAAAAATATCATCGATATGTATTTAATCTTCTAATCTAATCCAAAATCGCTTGCACAGCTTCCAATTATGCCGTTTGGGATGTGTCTTTAACGTGCCATGGTACTGCGAATGAAACAAGTGCCGACCTCCATCGGTTTGAGAAAATTATCAGAAGAACTGAGAGACCGGCGCCTGGCTTGGTTTGATAAAACGGTCCAAAATGGTGATCGAATTAGATGCACAGCTTCTCGTTTCGGAACCCCGCGCAGGCCGCAGATGCATGAGAGGACGCTGAAGAAGATCTGTTTGCACAGAGGATTATGACTCTTGTTGCAGCAGTGAGCGTTGCCTAATATGAAAATAAAGTACTATTTCTAGCTAACGTACATGACGAATCTGGATTACGTTGCAGTTGACGCTCTATTTACCTCACGTGACAATAATAAGACAACAGCAATCCTCTAAGTCCATGGTTGAAGGCGCCTCAAAGAGTGTACTGATTTTATTGAGGCCGAAAAATGTTGTATGACTATTGTCCATCACCCACAGAATGAGAATTTTTTACTGATATTGTTATTTTGTGATCATACTGAGAAGCAACAGAAATAGTGATGCAGTTTTGCTTCCAAAATAGCTGCTCAAATACCTTGAAGTCGTACCCTGTCTAAATGGTTTTCTAGGCCGCTAGAAGCAAGGGGACGGTGCTATTACGCCGTTTCAATCCGGTATGAAAAGAGAAAGTGTTATTTCTCTTAGTATGCTAGTAAACCTATAATATCAGGTTTGTTTTTATGTATAGAAAAAAACTATCAACGTGACGCAAAATAGGTCTAGTATGGGATAAACGCCAACCAGCATTTTGATCTGTATTTCATTGTCAAAACTGAACTCTCGACAGTGACTTATCAGTCAGTAGCTCTGTCTTTTGTGTTTTCCCCTATTTTTCAATCTCACTTGTCATTGACAGTCTGTAAATATGGATCTCATAGTCTTTTATGAAAAATCAGCCGTGATTGTATTCATTTCTGCCTATGGCAACATTCGTTACTCAGGTTTATAAACATAGTTGACTGGTATTTTTGTCATCTACAGTCTTGAATATAATCATCCCTTTTTGACTCCATACCGTTCATTCGATTGACTCTTTATAACTGTTTCTTTCTAGGTAAATGCACAGTTTATGAATTCCCATTTTTATAATTTATATATTTTGTTGTCAGAGTTATGTCAACCTTCTCTGTACTTTAGGCAATCACAAGCTTTTGCTACAGTATACTGACTTTGAAAAGATTTGCACTTACCGTTACTGGGATGCGAAGGGGCGCTGTGTAGACTTCGAAGGAATGACCAGTGATCTTGAGGTAAAACCTCTCAAATTGGCTCTATTGATATGCTACATTGAAGTATACTTTTTATGTCGCTCCTGAGAAAGCAGTTATTCTCTTCCATGGCTGTGCTCACAACCCTACCGGCATGGATTTGAACCATGAACAGTGGAAGCGCATATGTGAAATCGTTAAGGTAATTTCTGTCCAGATAGCCATTTATATTTTGCCTTTACGCAGGCATATTTATTTGCTAGAATAATTAATGTTATTTTGTTACTGGTTTGTCTCCGAATTTTTCTTTTGTTACTGATTTATCTGTAGCTAGAGTGTACGACAGTTTTTACTGAGGCTTGTGATGTTCTTTGGCAACAGAGTTTATGATTGTTGCGTTTCGTTTTCTCTTACTCCTGTTTTTTATTCCTTGCCATCACCATCAGTCCCTTTCGTCGAAGATGGATGGTTGCTATGACTTGAAATATATTCTCGGGCCACGATTATTGGCATGTCCATCTGGGGAAAAAGATTGGACTCGTACGTGCCTTGTCAAGCTCGTGTGGCTTTCGAGCGGTCGATGGAACCACTTAATGGAGAAGACGGAACATATCGCTCCCAGTTTTGAATGGAAACCAGCAGTGAAAAAGTTATAGGAATGCCACTGCATATTCTCTTGGCATGGCGAAGACCGAGTCATATGATGGCTCTGTGACACCTTCACGTTGTGAACTGAATTGCACGACTTGTTGCAGATAAACTGCTTCTGTCAGTACCAATAATCCATGTCTTGACGTTATAACGTAGCAGTTTAATTAGATCTGTCTATATAATTCTAATTTTAAAGCGTGCGCTACAACCGAATTTCTATCCCCACATGTTATGAATGGATCTCATGCAATTGGCAGCAAGACTGATTCTGCGAAGAATGTGAATCTTTTACGACCGTTAGTCAACCGAATACTAAAGCGATGTAAAAAAATTCCGACGTTAATTTCTACGCCAAATTCAGTTGAACCAGCGCCAAGATTTTACGTAGTGATTTTCTGCCATGAGACTCTAGCACACAACGATGTACCTCTTTTTGCGCTGCCACAGGGCATTAGAGGTTAGCTGGTTCTGAAACGAACAGTACTGCGTCTCGCATAGTTCAAGACACTGAACGCTTTGTCACCAACTTTGATGCCGAAAGAAGGCATCTGTTGCCTTTTCAGTCACATAGTTATTGTCATGTAGAATGAGGCCATGGAAAGGACGAAACGTCAGATGCCCAGTGTTAGGTTACTGAAAGGCTCAACCGTATTTCAATTGATATCCTAATTATATTGTCGATATATTGTGAGGTCGATGAGTGTATCAACGTAGAAGATGTGGAAATGATGAGGTTGCTGTTTGCAGACGATCTAGTTTTGTTGACATCTTGTGTAACTGATTTACAACGCTGAAAAGATTCGCAACCGAATGCGACGTGACCGGCATGCGCTTGAACGCATCTAAAACGAAAAGCCTAGTGCTTTCTTTTTCTCATGCCCGTTACTCTCTTCAGATCAACGAATCGGCAATGGAGCAGATGGAGATGTTGACTTCCTTGAGTAGTGTCTACTGTGATGGAAAATTTGAGGAAGAGATCGACCGGCTGATTAGCCAGTGGCGTTCTG